TCATCAGAAGCTGCTTTCTATAAGATTGTTTCAAGCTATTAATGACGCGATGTAGGATTAGGCGGAAGAAAATGTAGTTTAATGTTGTGAAGATGAACTTRAGGATGAGCAGGGCAATTATCTACTAATAGCAAAATTTTAGTATTGGCTTTTATAAGTTCACAATCCCATTTCTTTAAATAGTCAGTAAAGGTCTGAGAGTCATCCAGTATTTGTCGTTAGCACAATAATCTACCGGCAATGTTTTAACGTTTTTCAAGCATCTGGGATTGTTATAGTTTCCTGAAAGCCGACATTGTTCAGAAACAGCGGATTGTATTAAATTGTATTTAAAACTTACTAATAACCAAAAATTTCCGTTCTACCGTGCCCGATGCATTAGCACAAATCATGGCAGTTATTCTTTCTTTAGACATTTTTCTACCACTGCATGTTTCACATTTGATCTTATGTGTTTTGTCAGGCAGCATCTTATAGAAAATTCCCGTTTCGTCCGCGTTAAAAATGTTGCCCATGGAAGAATTGTTACTTATTGTAGGCCAGGTTTGTAATAGCCAGTCATTTGTAAGACATTGGTCCACAGAAACCGATTCACCACAAAKTTTGCCGAAGCAAATACTATGCCTATWTTTAAATCTGTCTAGCCATCCTGAACTGCATTTAAAATTATCACCGACATCTTCTCCGAATTCATTGGCTTTCATCATTAGCATTGGACCACTTACTGSAAAATTATTGGCCCTTTTCTGCTGAAACCATTTAAACAGTAATTCATTAACTTGAGGATGTGTCGCAAATCTTATTTTTTTCTCTTGTCGTTGACTTTCCAATCATTTTTAATTTTTTCCCGATTAATCCATATGTTCGAAACAGTCTGTTTTTTTAGGTTTTTGTTCAAGCAAATGTCAGCTTAGGAAGTTCCTCCTTCAATTTCGCATATTATTGTATATTTTTCATGCAATGTAAATGCTCGCTTTTTTTCCGACATTTTTCTTAAAATTAACAACTCTCAATGAAAAGCCAACGAAAGTCACTTGCAGCCCACCGCAGAAGTGGTTTGCCTTCTTTGACTTAGAATCAGAGACTGATTGTGTCTCTTGATCGAATTCGGGGAAGTACAAAATTTTCCTTATTGCCAACTGATTGCCAACTTTGTTTTGAAATTTGATTTTGAAAGCTTCGGTTATAATGGACAAAATCCGATGTTATTGCCTATTATAACCGGAGTTCATTATAACCGGGTCTATTTTAACCGAGTTTTTTTACATATGTTCGAACTGGGACTTGACAACGAGGTACATGATAACATAATTTCCATCTTAAGCGAGTCCATTATAAATGGATTACACTGTATATTAGGGTGATTCAAAAAAACCATATTTTTTTTTTCGTTTGCTACTCTGAAAAATAGATTCCTAGACACCTCTCCAAGAATGAGTTCTTAATTGTAACGGGAAGGTCCTCCTACTTACAGTTTTATATTTTTTCTTATTATCTGATAGAAAAGTTTATGTATTCCTTCCAACCACTTCAAAAAATATTCTGTTCCTTAGATTTTGTAGGAAGTTGAATGCTCTACAAAAAAGGTCTAGTACGATTTTTTCGTAAACCCAACCGTTTAAAAGATCTTAACGGTTGAAGTTTGATTATTTTTCGGAAAAATTTTTATTTCTTATGAATTTTATAACTCAAGGAAAAAAAATCATTTCGCATGATGAAACTTACTTATCTCTGTTGAGATAAAGTTCAAGTCTCAGCAAAGCACAGAATATTAGCAGAACAAATCAGTGTATCTGATCTGATATCCGCAATGTGCTTATTTAGACTCTTTACATTTTGGTAATAAATATTCAGGCGTTGTTCCGATTTTTCGGCTAAAATTCTGTAACATGTCGTGAATGCGCCTTCTGTCCTCAATCTATTAAGTTGAGTTTTAATGGGATCCTGCTGTCCAAATGGGTTCGGATAAGAAAATTTACCTTTTATATATAATCCATTAGAATTTGTCGCTCTGCTACAGCCTACATATAACGCTGATCTGCTAATTCTACCCTCTAGAGGAATCGCAACGTGAGCGTACGTTCCACCTTGGCTTTTATGTATTGATTATTCTGGTACGCTCGACGAGTCTCTCAAGGAGGACGATGCGTCGATGGTTAAGAATAAGAAACAAAAAAAAAAAAGATGTATTAGCAAAGAAAAGCCAAATTGTGTGTTTCATATAAAAAGAAACGTTTGTTCTTTATTTTGGCTAATAAATGTGTGTATAAATGGGTGTATGTTACACAATGAATATATAATATACAATATATTACCTGGTGATGGTGGTGATGGCCGGTGGACGTCCTGGTTTGCTCCCTGCTTCTAAGAAAGTGCCAAAAAAGTGCCTAGCAGAATCGCTACTGAGTTAAGTTAACGAAACTATTGCCAGTTGAGTGAAAACTATGAGYGGYTTGTGTCAACAGTTAACTGGCAATAKTTTGTTAAATGCTCACTAGGGTTGGTGAAAAAGAAATTAGGCACTGGCTTAAACATACCGGCCCCCTTGCGGTGAGCAAAAAAATTACAAAAATCCATATCCATCCGACCACCATAACCATGAACAAATGTATAGCACAATGTTTCCTTAAATTACTATAAATTAAAGTAAAATACATGGTTATTCCAATGCACTTTATTTCATCTGTGACCCTTTTTCTTTTGTTCGTATATATAAGTAAAAAAATACAATATAAAAAGCATACAATATAAATTCATTCGTTTTAYTAAATTCGTTCATTAAAACATTACATCAAAAAAAAAGCAATCTACAAAAAATATTCCTAATACCGGCCCGTACCCGAATGCACCCAGCCGAAAATGGAGCCCTGCGCGAGAAGCTGCCCAAACATTTGTGGCATCATTTGTTGGGTCATGATGCGGCTATAAACATCTGCGCCGAGTACCAAACGTATCGGCGCTGACTTATAAAAATTAGGATCCGCGAGCTTTATGTGCGTGTACGGAGCTGCGATATCGGAGTCCATTGTGGTTGTCCATGAATGTGTGCCAACGATCCAATGTGGTAGGAGACACAACCTCGTCCCATTGTGCTCCTTCTAACCAAATGTGTTGCATTATCATTTTGGCTATTACGATAATCGGTGCTAGCCATCCTAGTGGATCAAACAGTTTGGAAATATCCGATAGGATAGCTCTCTTTGTAAAGGATTCTGGGCTGAGTATTGGTTTTGTTTTGAAGTACAAGAAGTCAGTATGTGCATTCCACCTTATCCCAAGAGCCTTGACATCACTTGTGTCTTCGAAATCTAAAAATTCTTCGTTGAGCAAGTGGTCTTTTGGTAGCCCTTGTAAAATTTTTCCACAATTGGCTGTCCATTTTCTTAATGGGAAACCTGCCGACTCCAATGCTAGTCTTATTTCATTTCTAGCTTTAATTGCAGCCTCTATAGAGTGTCCACCTGCTAAGACATCATCAACATACATGCATTTCCTGAGTATGTCTTAGGCTACTGGTAGTGAGCTTTCAACGTCGTCAGCTAATTGAAGTAACGTCCTTATTGCCAGATAAGGAGCGCAGTTGATTCCGAACGTTACGGTCTTCAATTCGAAAATGTTAGTTTGTTCGGTCGGACAGGAAAAACGATTCGCTGGTACTTCGTTTGATCAGCCTTCACTTGGATTTGGCGATACATCTTCTCAATATCGCTATCGAAGACATATTTAAATAATCGCCATCGCAGAATTAAGATGGTCAGATCTGCCTGAAGGACTGGACCGGGAAGAAGGATGTCATTCAGCTAAGTGCCGTTTGAAGTTGATTGCGATGCATTGAATACCACACGCACTTTTGTAGATGTGCTCTCTTCTTTCCTTACGGCATGGTGAGGCAGGTAATAGTTATCACTAGAGTCGGCCGTTTGATTGGTATGTATCTTTACCATATGACCCATCTCAACGTATTCTTTTAAAACCCTGTACTCTTTTTGCAGATTTTCATCTTTGGATAACCGAGCTTCATTGCGATAAAACTGGGAGTACGCAATCTTTAACGAACTACCTAACCTATTGTTGACCGGATAGTCTTTCCTGAATGRTAGCGATACAACGTATTTCCCGTCTTCATTTCGCCTCGTTGTCTTTTTGTAGAGCTCTTCACAATACCTGTCCTCTTCGCTTAGTTTACGTTCCTTGGGCATCTCTTCCAATTTCCAGAACGAAGCTAACTGCTTTTCCAGCGATATTTCGTTGTAATATGAGACGCAAGTGTTGGTTGGCTTAATTGTATTAGCACGGCCCGCGACTATCCAACCGAACACGGTCTCTTGCGCAAGAAGCGATCCCAGTACGTTCTTGCGTATGCCATCAAGGATAATCTCTGGATAGACGTCGCCACCGAGTATGACGTCCACGGGTTCACTGACGAAGAAACTTTTGTCCGCCAATGTGAGGTCTGAGAAAGCCTGCCGTGTTAGTGCGCTAATGTGGCAAGTCGGCAAGTTTCCTGTTAATTTCGGCAGAACCATCATGTTCGTTGTTATCGATATAAGTGGGTCAATTGGTGACCGCAATTCGACACAACATGATTCCTTTACCTGCGCAGCTACGGTGTTGTTGATGCCTGACAACTGGGCATTTATCTTCCTAGCTGGCAAGTTAATTCTGCGCTTCATCCTTTCTGTGATGAGAGAGCACTCTGATCCGGAGTCGATGAGTGCTCTTGCGGCATAAGTAACGCCGCTGTGATTTATGTTTATTTGTGCCGTTCCTAATAAGACACCTTTGTYGTTGTTAGCGAAGCACGACTGTACCTGAGTCGTTGGCTTGCCGTTCGATTTTTTAAAGTTGTGTCTCTGTTGCGCTTGCCTGGACCTAGACGGAATCTCGTCCGATGACACTCTTTGGCTGATTAGCTGCACTGTCCTTTTACATAGTGTGTGATGCCTCGCATGGCACGTGCTGCAGTTGAATGCACTGGTGCATTGCGATACCAAATGTCCAAAGCCGAAGCAATTATTGCAGCGATTGTTGCGCTTAGTGAGCTTGATGCTGTCCGTCGGTGGCATGTCAAGAAACATGGGGCAAGATCTTAGCTTGTGATCTGCGCTTTTACACATCAGACATGTTGATTTCTCAACGCTTACTTGGAAGACGCTCAGTCTGTTCTGATGGCTATTGTTATGGTATTTATTTTGTGTGAAGAAGTGGATGATTTCTTGGCACGTTCTATTGCCTCTAAATCCCGGTATCTATCCGTAAGGAAGTTATCCAATTCCTCCCACTTTGATGTCTTCGTTTTGTTCTTGACAGACTGTTCCCAAAGAGCCAATGTTGCTTGTGGCAGTCTCTTTGAACAAATACGGATTCTGATTCGGTCCCAGTTCCCAATGTCAATTTTACTGGCTGTCAGACAGGAGATGCAGCTGTTAATCTCCCGTTGTAGCCATTTTATCGAGTTTGAACACTCTTTGTCGATTGACGGTAAGTCGAGCAGTATGTCGACTTGGGTTTCGACTAGTATTCGCTCATTTTCATACAAGTCCGTCAAATTTTTCCATGCCATTGCAAAACCTTCATTTGTTAGAGGGCATTTTGACACAATCACCTTAGCCTCCCCATGTGTCTTTTTGTTGAGGTGGTATAATTTCTCAACCGGTGAAAGACGCTTGCTTTTGATGTATACAGCCGTGAACATATCTCGGAATGTTGGCCATGAAAGGTAGTCCCCTTTAAACACATCTGTATCGCAAGGCGGAAGGGAGTGGTTTTTATCTGCCTCAGCAGATTTTTGTGTGTCTTTGGGGGTTAAGAGGATCTCAGACATATCGTTCATTGCCCCCATGCAACGTATGTAGCATTTACCGCCTAATTTGAACTTCTTTTTTATGAGGGCATAATCTTTTGAAGACATGTCCCCTCTACTATTGAGGTCATCATGAGCAGCTTTCGCTTTGCACCAACTTTCTCTCAACTCGTCTTGTTGCGTCACAAGAGTGTTTTTCGAGATGTCCTTTGGTGCGGCATTAAAATCATGCTCGTATTCTATAACGTAGTCAACTAAGCGCATGAAAGCTTATATGCTTTGTTGATCGTAGTGATCAAGAAGAATTGAAAATAATGACTTTCGAAAAGAATAGAGAAATTCTCAAGACTGAGCCGACTATGGCCTAAACAGTATGGGAATCGCTTTGAAAATAATTCCCCAAGATTGAAAATTTTAATTGCAGCACACCACTGCCAACCAAACGAGAAAAATATAATAATGATTTCAAGAAAAAATTTGAGTATTGTAGCCGATATCGCAATATATCTGGCGTACCAATATACTTTATTTATTGAATATTTGACGATTGTAGCCGATATCGCAATATATCTGGCTTATTAATATTACTTTATTTATTGTATATATTTTTTTTAGCAAACACATATAACAACATATATGGCACTTTATATGGCTCGCCACCCAAGATATTGAAACGCCAACGAAGATCAGCTTGTCAAAGTGAAAAAAGTGAAGTGTCTTAGGGAAAAATTGAAGTACACTTAAATTTCCAAAAAAAGAAATTTTGTGAGGAAGGAAAAATAATAAATCAGTGCCGTAAGTTATTTGTTGTGAACTCAAAATCGAACTATAAGTTGCACTATTGCGATTAACTACTGTGCACAAAACTTTAATCTAATCGCACCGACAAAAAGTTAAGAAACAAAAAAAAAAATAAATATATGAAAATGGGTTACCGCTAAGAAGTAGTGCACTGTTACGTTTACCGGATTTTGTGCACTTACGGATTTTTTTTGTTTTTGTAAGATTTTCACTAAATCTCTTTTACACTTTCCCTTTTTTTTTAAAGAAATAATAAATGATTCTTTATGTAAAGATCTATCGCGTGTCACAGATATGAAATGTGCTATGGATTGGAAAATAACCACGTACCTCTGATTTGATGTTCGAACGTCTGTATTTGCGCAGTGTTTGCTGGTAAATTGTTGAGCGGTGTTCGCTGGAAAATTGGTGTGCAGTGTTTGCTGGTAAATTGTTGTGCGGTGTTTGCTGGTTATGTGGAAGAATTATAAAAATTATCCGGCTAGAAGGACCAATGATTATTCTCGAACGCTCRACGAGTCTCTCAAGGAGGACGATGCGTCGATGATTAAGAATAAGAAACAAAAAGAAAGATGTATTAGCAAAGAAAAGCCAAATTGTGTGTTTAAATGTGTGTATGTTACACAATGAATATATAATATACAATATATTACCTGGTGATGGCCGGTGGACATCCTGGTTTGCTTCCTGCTTCTAAGAAAGTGCCAAAAAAGTGCCTAGCAGAATCGCTACTGAGTTAAGTTAACGAAACTATTGCCAGTTGAGTGAAAACTATGAGTGGTTTGGGTCAACAGTTAACTGGCAATAGTTTGTTAAATGCTCACTAGGGTTGGTGAAAAAGAAATTAGTCACTGGCCTAAACATGTATCGTGATGGCTTCAGCTGGAATGACAGGGAACTGTCTACATTCTATAGTTGTTTGTTCATTTCGCTTGTATTGGAATGATCGGACCACGCTCATGATTGGTGTCCAATCTGCATTGCGACTATGCGGCTGCTTGGAACATCCAAAGCTTCCAACACTTGGTTCTGCGAATTTCATCCATAGTTGCACCGCTGTGCTTTCAGATTCAGACGATTCGGTATCCACTTGCATTAGTTCCCCTGTAGCACCTTTTACTAATCCATCACTTGTGCTTACGTTGACTGTTACCATATATTTTATCGATGTTTTGAGCTGCAATGTATGAGGCATTCCCTTCACAGCTTCTAATATGTTTTCTCTGCTGCGTTCTGTTAAGGAACTTGACTTAATAGTATCCTCCGCAGTGGAAATGCACTCGTCGATCATCGTGTTCGCCTGTTTTATTGAATTGAAATTATTTGCTCCAGCATTTGAATAAAAGAGATGGATTGATTCAGTGGGTATCTCGTTAGAGGTCTTTTCCCTGCTTTTAATTAATTTAATGTCAGCGTGGGTCATATTTCCCTCTGACATGTTGTGTAAAGCGATGGCAAATTTTTAATCTTCACGCTGACGCATTATTTCGGTGAGCTCGAAATATCGAAATTGATTCCAAAGCGGAGTTCCTGTAATTGCACTGTAATGATCATCTGGTGCAAATTTCCATCGATCTCCTACTGGTGGCAACTGTTTTAAGTCACCAAACACGATAATAGGAATGCCTCCAAAGTAAGCACTGCTCCTAAAAATTTGCTTTAGCCTACAATCTAAATACGCAAACATCTTTGCTCCAACCATTGAAATTTCATCAATTATTATAAGCCTAATATCTATGAGATTAGCATGAATAAAGTTCAATGTGTCACTATTGAGGGGCCGAAGATCGACGGTGGACTGGTTAACGGAGAGTGAAAAAAGGAATGAAGAGTTAGACCTCCAATTCCAAATGCWGCTTTGCCAGTGGGTGTGCAGAGTAAGACMTTGGCTGTTTCGGTGTTAGTTTCTTGTACACTGTTAGCGCTCAATGTCAAAGACTAATATATAGTCGTTATAAGCCGGGTTTTTGCCACTCCATCACCACCTCCGACATATTCGTAGAAGATTTTCTCCTTACTGACATTGTGCATTATGTGAGCAAAATATTCCCTCTGCTTTTTATTAAGAGATTGTAACATTGCCAGTTGTACAAATGAGCATCCTCCCCCGGACATCCACACATACACCACACTATCACACCACATCAACTCAACCTCACAACACTGACACCTTACTCACTTCACAAATCATCAGGGCTTACAACCCACATTCCACGCTACACRTGAGAACACCACACATCGGCACCCACAAGCACGTACACCAACCAACCACATCACAGCAAAGGGAAAAAGGGGACCACAAGGAGATCAGCAACTTCACTTCGCTTTCAATCTCAGCACCGACTTCTACACGTGAGCGGACATTTTTTGAACCGAGCAACATCAGCGTTCTTTCCCTCCTCCAGTTTTCGTCATCAGAATTTTAACCCTTTAATTATTACCTTTTTACAAAGTGAACATTTAAATACATTGTACGCAAACAAGAATACCGCAATATACTTATATACGCGCGTATACTCATTTAAAGCAATTCGTTTTGTTTACCATTTTTTTCCATTTTTAAAATAAAAATCTTGTGGGGACCGAGAAAGTGAGTTAGTGGTTTTTACATGGTCCTGCGAGGCAAAACGAACAGCACATTGGTGAAACGAAAAAAAAAATATA